TAAAGAAATACAACACAAATACATGATAAATCGTCAGTGACCTGTGTTCTTTTCGAGATTGTAATAATCCCTAATGCTGTTTCGATCAATAAAAGTCAAATATGAATTACAGCTTGTAATTGTAGTAACTAGATACTTATTACTAAATATTATATTTTGAGTATTTTGATGAAATTCTAACATTTAGACTGTAAATGAACCAGTGAACATTGATTTTGTTATTTGCTTTTTTAGTATTGATGGAGTACGATATTTTCAATGTCCGGAAAAGTATGGTGCATTTGTGAAACCGCAATATGTTGAAACTGGTGACTTTCCTGAACTTGGTATTGATGATCTAGATGAAATTTAATTACTTATGATCTTTATATCAATCTCCTTGTATAAAAGTGGAAATATTTTTATGCATTCAATGGAAAATGTATCAAGCATAATATATTTGATAACCTTCAATGTACAATTTTTAAAAAAGTCATAATTGGTTCCGTTTGTTTATGATCGATAATGCAATGAAATAGATGGTCACGGTGTATAGTTTTTGATCATTCGTTAAATACAGAAGAAATAATAAATTAACTGTTGACACTAAATAATAATTTCTTCTTACTTTATCATCTATGGTTTATTAGAATGTAATTAAACAGCTTTACCTATCGAAATCAAGGTGTTTAATCTATCGAATGTTAAAAACTCGCTAGTTGAATTAAAACTGTTTAGTACATTACATAATGACATATTTCCTTGTTTTTGAACACTTGTAAAACACTCAATTTATAGGTGGGTAGAAGTAAAGAGTATATACCTTTGCTCATTTACCATAGGTTGTTCTTGATTGAGCAATGTTCGGATTATGTATATGATGGGGAGGATAACATGTTAATTTATATAAACTCACATCGATGACAAAGTAAATGGTAGAGATTTTAAAAAATCTAAGTAGATTTTTAGATCTGTATTTAGTTTCTTACAATGATAAGTAATCAACCTCCTATCACAATTCACCTTCATCCACTTTAGTGCATTTACGACGCTTTACCTCATTACGTAATGTGAAAAAGTCTATAGCAATCCACTCAATACCACTACGTAGAAACTCAAATATCAGTAGACTTTAGCTTTTAATTGTCCGTTTAATAATCAGTAAGGGAACGCAATGTATATTCTAGGTGTTGAGTTTGTCACTTTTACAGCTGCAGGGATTGTATCGATGTCTAGTCCAGTTTACCGTGTGATACTCTGGACATTATTCGTAGTTAAACAAGGTATTAGTAAAGTTAAAAATTAAGTCGGCTCCGTGTAAGAATGGAGTATGTCCACGGTATTTGGAAGAGCATTATGACAAATCTAACCTGTCATGCTTAGTATCCTTCCGCGGGCAGGAATAACAAGCATCGCCGTGGAATTTAATACATGTACAGATTAGTCACATATGTACTGACGGATAGCGATAACATGTTATCATAATTGATATGAAGTAACATTGTTATCGTCCTCAAGTGTGTACTGAGTATTTCATACCAATATTCAGAATTTCCATAGAAATTTTTATTATCAATAACCTAAAGGATCAAACGAACAGATTCTGAGCCTAGTGTTGCAGAATACTGAAATACATTAGTTTCAGTGGCTTATTTTCCCAGCTGACTCGAGTCCCAGTGAATGAGTTTTCGATAGACGAATCCATCTATACGTATGAAACGGGAAGAATGGCTATTTTTGTGATAGACTACTCAACCTAGCCTTGCATCATTAAACACTGATGTAATTTGTTAGGCAGTACGTTATTAGGATATCAGAGATCACTAGGGTGAGAATATCTAGATTGTCGTTCGTCAAATACTAACCTTTCAGTTACTAAACAGCAAGTCAGATATTCAATGTACGTTCAGATCCTCAGACATAGAAAGTGATTATGGTCCACAACATATCCTTTGAACTCAGATTATCCCGTTACAGTGATTCAGCCAGTATGGCCTTGATTATTAAACAAAACAGTAGAGAAACTGTTGATACCTTTGTAAATTAGTATTACACACTGGTGACAACTTAAATATTGTGTTTTTTATTTATATTTTGTAAACGTAGTATCATGTTTCACGTCGATTCGACGTAACTTATGTACCAAGTACATATTCATATACTCGTTTTTGCACGACGCAGTTTGTAAGGACTAGGAATGCTTCCAGGTCGCTCAAACTGAGGTCAGTGGATCGGTTTATGAACATGAAACTTAGTAGCTAAAAGCTGAGTGACTTTAACTACTGTAAATTAGACTGAGAAAAATAGCGAACTGCCCGTTGTACATCCACTGAGCCAAATGCTTGATTTCCTTATCGTTAGTTGAATTTTTAGTGATGATTGACAACTAATCGGTATTACAACCGTCTTCAATAGTAAAACATCTACACCTAATCATGTGTATGAAAACAATGTCTGATGCGACTTGTTGCCTTTCCAACCAACCAGTTTATTTAAAACATGACAACTAATGTTTCGGTAATAACTAAGTTTAAAGGTATCATAGATCATTATAAGTTGATTTTTGACCCTGTATTCCAATAAACTAAAGGTAGTCTGATTTTATGTCCTTCGTTCAATACCAGTGAAAATGAATTCATGCTTATGATAATTTATTATAAAAATAGATGAATGGTGGCTACCAGTGTAATCCAAGACGCGCGATTCATTCTATTTAGGATTGGTTAGCTGAATGCACCTACTGCTCAGGTTTGATATTTACTCTGGTTTTCAAACCTAGTACCGTTCTCTTCAAATGATATTTCATTAAAAACTTAGTGCAGATAACGAATAGCATTTACATAACAGTTGTACTCATATCATTTTAAATAAAAAAATTTCCATCCCGTTTACTCCCATAAAACTACTCTAAGGGAAGTCCTACTCACAGCCTTCTCGCAAAATTATTGTTGTTTACGAAATCGAGAGTACGAAAAGCGAATGTCCGGCGCTTTAACCGGGTTGGTGGACACGGAGAATCCCCCTAAGTGAGTAGGAAAACCCTGATTTCAAACTAGTGGTGCACATGGACTTCATAATTCTGAAGGAAAATGGCCTATAAGCAACTGTTGGTCACCGGCTACCATGGGACTGCATTTCCTGATGTTGCCCCACTGCCTTGTGGATTAGAACTCTAGGTCAAAAGTTCCGGGTGTGACCCCCTAGGAAAACTGCCTGCTTCGGTTTGGGCACCCGGGCAGTATCTAAGCCCCCACACAAATCCAATGATTTATGTGGCGTATATCTATTTGATGCCTCCTTGTGCCAATGTTTATGTGTTTAAATAAATAATAAAAAACATCAGGGAACAAATTAGGTTTCATTTCTATGGGGTATGTAGGAAAATTGATGCGTTTTAATCTCGATGTCTATCAATAACCCTTTGTATCATAGAGTTCGAATATAATGGGTGTATCTTTCTTTTTAAGTAACGGCAATGAAACCGTTTAGCAAATTTCGACATTCAATACAAAAACGGTTATGTTATTGGGTTTCAACTAATCGAATTAAAACAATGTACAGCCAATTAACAAAGTATTACAAGGAAGAAAATGTTTGCTCCTAAATACATGAGCACACATTTTGAAATACATGTTAACCAATCACTAATTACTGAATTTTTATCAATAGAAGTTAGGAGTCATGATAACCGTGATAAGCACTGGCTTGTGCAATGGCGTGGAGTTTAATTTGTTTGTATTAGTTGTTTGAACCTCCTCATTATTGTTTAGTACTTTATCTAACCAGTCTCGGAGTGAACATCAACTCTGCGATGCAGGTACATCTGGCTAACTAGATCTAAATAGGATGAAACACATGTACTGGATCCCACTGCTAGTCACTATCCATTTCTGTGACTTAATGGTAATATCAACGGAAGGCGCACAAAATGCATATATGCCAAAAGAGGCTGATCAATTGCAGTCCTCAACGCTAATGGGAAGTTTCAAACAACCAATACAAATAAATTACAATGTATTTCATGTATTAAACGTCAAATTCCTAACCAACCTCATAGAAGATGTGAATTCATTTAACATCACAATCGTATTCCTTAGCTATCAAGGATTTGACATCCTAGAAGTTTCATTACCACAAACAATAATAAGCCAGTGTTCAACATTTGTTTTTGGACTTCAACCTAGCAGTAAATATCTATTGGGACTGACTGACATAATGACCAAGTAGTATGAAAGTATAGCTTTTGAGACCGTCATACGGAGTATTGTTTATATTTTCACTGAATAATTAGCAGGCTGTTAAACTATTTTTTCGTGTTTTTTTCATCTCTAAGCTTTCATTTGACCCATAAATCATTGTCATATTATCCCAAATTTATCATTAATTATTTCTCTAACACTCGGGTTTTTATCACTTATGAATAAGTTATTCACACAATGTAATTTTCTAGCTCCGTTGCTGTGCATTGGGTACTCCAGGTATATCATGCGAATTTCGAGTAATGATTGAACAGAATACAATCGAGAATTAATCAGCTTTCTGTCTCCGTGTTCTAACCGGGCATTGGATTAAAAGATCGAGGACCAATAACGGCCGGGATCTTTTTTGTTGTTCACTAGTCGCAGTCATTTTGTAAATAGGTTACCGGTCCTACAAGCAGCATATGTGAACTGATCAATAGTTGGTTCCGAGAATAGAATTCCTACCGTAATAAATATTCGAATAAACAAACTCCAGGACTACATAAGCAACCGTCTCTGTTTTCATCGTTTCATCACTTACAAAACAAACCATGATTTTAATGGTTGATATTTCTAAAATCAGTAAACTAACAAACTGAGTTTTGCTGAAGAATCCCAGCGAACAGCAAAGTAACTAGAAAGCGCTCACTACTATACAAGATTTCTTCTTTTGATATTAGATGACTTAGAATACTACTTATGAATTCATTAAAAATCCGTAGCATGACTGCATTGAGTTGCATGAGTAGTTTGAGAAGAACCACATCAAAATTAATATAATTGAGAAAAAACGTTTATTCAAAAGATAAGTATCTAACAATTTACATTTTTGTAACTATAAGTCTACAGTTCAACAATAGAAAAGTAAACTGTATTTGACATTGTAAAATAGTGGGCGATATATTACAGCGGGGTCGTTAGTAGTGGTTAACTTTTGTTGGATTCTAGTATATCTTTGGCCTGATTGATCTTAGCAGCCAAGTATGGGGAACCGCCTGAATTAGATATATGATAAACATATTACACTTAAGCAAATTAAAAGATTATACTTTGTGCAAAATATTCATATAAGAAAAATAAATAACTACCCAAAACTGACGGACATGGACCTGAAGACAATTTATGAAATGATGGTTAAAAGTACACCTTTGTTGTTTGTCAGGTAAGTCATTTTTTAAAGTTGGATAATAACTTTTTACGAATACATCTTTCATATATAGTTAGTAGTTTTATTTCATTATAAGTTAGTCACTTCGTCTGTTATGAAATTATTTTTGGCATTTCATTTACGTAAGATATTCATTAACAAGAAACTCTATTTTGATCCTTGTTACTGTGAACTGACAAAAGCTGTAAAAGTGGTAGGGCTTGAGTAGCAAGCTTTTATTTTATTCTTTTCAAGAAGCCGATGGAATATAGATAGACAAAATAACTTGGATTACTCTGTTGATAGAAATCTCAAGTTTACATTAAGGTGTAAATACTAGGGTAGAAGTATGCAGATATATGAACAAATCCTTCTTAAGGAATTTTAAAAAATAAATTGTGAATAGCTTACATTAGTACACTGACCATTATTATTATTATTATTATTATTATTATTATTATTATTATTATTATTATTATTATTATTATTACATGGATTTCAGTCAGGAAGCTTACACTTTCTGATACAGTTAAACACGGGAAATAATGATCTTGTTCCGGGTTGCCATTCCATAGTTGATATCCAACTTACTACTATACCAGTTAGTACAGAATACTGATATAAACAGTGGGTGAGATATGTAAGGTTATGAATTAATCACTGAGGGGAACTACGATCCTTTGCATAGGTCACCGAATAACATTATTGAAAATCTCGGAAGTGGAAACTTATATTTTCCCAAATATTAGACACTTTATAAACTTATGGGTTGGATATTCCTGTCTGATGAAGTAGTTCAACAGTTTAAGTAACATAATTTCTTAACATAGCAAAGAAATTTGACAATAAACAAGCACCAAAATAAAACTACGAGAGTGAAACCAAAGAACGAGGTGCAGTTATATAGAATAACAAACCCGAATATTCATGCAAATAAATGCGAATAACCGAGATACATGATTACGAGAAATTAAGTTGTTTTGAACCACCAGCCTCTATATTTCTGCGAAATTCAACTAAGAAGCCCAGATTGAGCCCATGCAGAAATCTACGAGGGTGAGCAATATGTAGCATGTACAACCTTTATTCAATTAATTAGTGAGCTACAGAAAACAAACACAAGCTTACACGACAGAATATAGATTATCAAATCTTCAACATGCCCAATAATCCTAACAGATTATAAATAACCAAAATCGAATAATAATAATAATAATAATAATAATAATAATATGGAACTGATTAAGGATAAGGAGTTAGTTGGTTATAATATTGATACAGAAGTTAACATAAATTAGAAAATTAGTGATAATTTTATTCTGAACTCACCTTTATCGGGATGGTTAAGAAGCATGATCCTCTTATGAGCATCCCTAATTTTATTTCTACTTGACTGTTGACTAAAATACAAGACAAAGATGAATACTTCTTTATAAAATAAATGCACACCTTTCAATGCTTAAATCTATAAAGAATAATCAGTATCAGGTAAGAGATAAAGGGCAAGTAATTAAATTTTCAGACAGTCTAGTTGAATATGATGAAAGCATACCTTAAAAAGTTTTTAGCAACTCTTGTGAAAGCAAAGCTGATTCTTAATGAGAATGGTGGTAGAGATGAAAAATTCATTACACAAATACCCCCAAAAAGATTGGTGTTAGTATTTAAAGCTACAATCAGGAGTTTGAATCAAGATTTACGGTTAGGAGTAAGTTAGGATCAGAGCGCAAGAATGCTTAGTAAACATATAGATTAACATATGCTGAGTTCTTTGTAAATAAAAACGATTCTCAATTTTTTTGGAGGCTTTTAAAAGACAAATACCAAGTTTCAAGTCTTTGCAATTATAATATTGACAAAACATTCTTGGCGTTAGTGATGTGACATCAATTTACAAACAAAAGGGATAATCGATTTTTATTATAAATTCAAATCAACATATTGAAAAAATTATCACACTAAAATAGTTCGAAATTGGTCAGCTAAATAATCTGTATCATCTACATTGCATACAATCGAAGTGAGAATATTTAATGAGCAACTGGATTTTAAACCTAAACTATTTAATTCACTTGGTATTGTTTTACTTGAATCTTCCCATTGATGTTTTAGGACTGATCAGTCCCTTATTGGCATATGTGCATACTGTGCGTATGCCTCGATATTGCCTTAATTTACAAGCATTATAAGCAAAGATGGATAGTGGCTAGCAGTGGAAACCAGGACGCGCGTTTCGTCCTGTTTGGGACTCGTCAGCTGGATGTAACTGCATCACAGAGTTGATATTCACTCTGGGACTCGAATTAAACTTCACCCCATTGCACAAGCAAGTGGCTATCAGGACTCAGTAGCTAAGTGGATAACGCAATGGCGTTTGAAGCGAACGGTACTGAGTCCGAGTCCCGGAGTGAACACCAACCCAGATGCACGTACATCCAGCTGACGAGTCCCAAATAGGACGAAACGCGCGTCCTGGATTCCACTGCTAGCTACTATCCATCTTTGCTAAACTATTTATTTATTACCATTTTAACACATAGATATTGGTACAAGGAGGCACCAAATATATATGTGCCACACAGACCTCATATGGTATGTGTGAGGGCTGTGATACTGCCTGGGTGCCCAAACCGGAGCATGTGGTTTTCTTAGGGGGCCACTCCCCGAGCCTTCGACCTGAAGGTCTGATCCACAAGGCAGTGGAGCAACGTCATGAGATGCAGTCCCATGGAAGCCGGTGACCAACGATTGGTTATACGCCATTTGTTCCCTCAGGATACTGGAGCCCATATACACCATTGGTTTGGAATCAGGGTTTTCCAACTCCCCTAGGTGGGCTCTCCATGTCCACCAACCCGGTTAAAGCGTCGAACGTTCGCTTTTCGTTTTCTCAATTTCGTAAACAACAGTAGTGCCACGAGAAGGCAGTTAGTAGGACTTTCGTGACATAGGCTATATACGCGTGGCCATGTGAGAGCATTTCGAGAGGGAGAGTGGACTCTCCCCACTCTCGACCGTACCAGGGCATTTGGGGGCAAACCTAAACTAGCCAAATGTTGTTCTTGCATATAAGGAAGCGAACTGAGAGAAGTGATGGAATCCCACTATTTTTGGTACAATAAAATCAGTTGGTATTGCTAATAGGTGATGTAGCAAAAGATGAAGCTTTATCAGACCATTTTAGTAGTGCTTTCTACCGACGATGGTGAAAGACAATCAATTATTTGTAATTATAGATGCTTATTGATAAATCCTCCGGTTATTGAGGAGATGCCTTTCAAAACCTGAAACCAGATAAGTCCAATGATCCTGACGATATTTATCACAGGATTATAAAAGCCCTAGCAGATGTCGTTGCCGAACCTCCGGCAATACTGCCTAAGCTACCAAGGTACTGGAAAGACGCAGTTATCAATGAGGCCTATAGAGCGGGGTGTAGAGACATAACTATCGACCCGTTATTCTAACCAGCGTAGTTGTTAAACTAATGGAGATTATTCGGATGGCTGTTTCAAACTCTCTGGAAGTGAATAATCTTTTAGACAGGGAACAACATGGCTTTAGGGAAGGCTTATCATGCTTAAAAAAATTGGCATGAAGCAAAAGATAGAAATATTTCATAGTAATTTTCATAGAACTACGTAAAGCCTTGATAATGTCTTTCACCTTGGTTTTGGATCCATTATGAAACCACAAACTGGATGAGTGATAGAAGACAACAGGTACGGGTAAACGGTGGTCCACTAACATGGGAACCTGCCAAACGTGGAGTCCCCCAAGAGGCAGCCCTCGGCTCTCCTCTTTTCCAACCTTGTTTAAATGAGTCACTGACTGCAGCCAACTCATCTGTTCTCTTTGCAGATGAAAAAGATTTGGAGACCCACAAACAATATGTCAGATAAGGCAATACTACAGGATGACTCAAACTAACTGATTGAATTGATGTGTTGGTAGTGATTAGAAGTTAACTGTAACAAGAGTATGGTGGTGAAAATAAATAGATGCGACGATTCATATCATTATACACTAAGCGAAATTGTTACCTGAAGTAATGGACTGGGAGTCATAATAAGCAACGACCTTAGAACTACGAGTAACTGTAAAGCTGTTACTGCCAAAGGATCCATGGTTTTATGGGCTATTTGCAAGTCATTCCATTAGTTGGTCGAAGAAATGTTTACGATATTATACCTGACTTTTATGAGGCCGCATTTAAAATATGGGAGTAAAGCAGCGAGTCCTTTTTTAAGTATGAGGCGGATATGCTAGAACGCGTTCAACGGCGAGGGACCAAGATGGTAAAAGGTCTCTCTGTCTTATGAAAAGATTAAGACGCCTCAACCTATTTCCATTCTCTTATCGCAGGTTAAGGAGTAATATGAAACTGGTTTACCGTACACTAAACGACGATTTTGGTGTGTGTCTTATCTTTTCCTTCCAATTTGGACTGATGATCTGAGGACATATTAGGAAAGTTCAAAAACCGAGATTAAATCGTTCACATGTGAAGTTCTGTTCTCTGCACCGAGTAGTGAATTACTAGGATTCTGCAGAGACTGGGTCTTCACAGTGCTACAAATTGCAAGGTCTATTATAGGTCGGTTGACCTCCTATCCTCACTACTGAAGACTAGAGCCAAACAGTAAAACCCGTTTATCCAATGACCGGTTAGTCCGTCGCGTTTCCAATTGCACATTAGATTTATTTACTATGAAGTGGCTTAATTTAAGTCACAAAACACCAGAAATGCATTTTTTCCACTCATTAGGACATAATGATAATATGTTTATTAAGTTTATTGTTTTGCAGATGAATTATAATGACAAAACTAGGGCGTTTATTTATTTAAAAAAATTGAATGATGCATTTGTCGGCTGTCGACTATCCTAAGTAGTAAGTGAGAATAACGGCCAGTTAGTCAACGGAAACAAATAATCCACTGACTAAGTGGGGATTCATGAACCCAGTCTTGATTAACACTAACAAAACCAAACTTACCTCACTCCAAGAATTAGGGCAGCTTCACGCCGGGACATATTTTGTTCAAACCCCCCACGATAATACTTGGAGCCATTCTGAAAGCAAAGTAAAGACAAAGTCAGAACTTGGTGTGTTTGTTTACACTACTAGTTTGTGATTGTCTGTTAAGTCGGGGTCGTAAGCACGTAAAAATGGTTTTAGTGAGCAACACCAAGAGATCATGGGGACTAAATAAGAATTTAATTTCACCACACCGGTAGATCGACCAGCATTCAGAATAGAAGGTAGTTGGGTAAAATGGTTAGACAGTTAAGTTAGAATTTTGTGGGTTAAGTCAAGACTGAATATCCGCTTACGCTAGTAAATGAACCTATAAATCTAAACTGAAATATAACAGTAAAACGTCAGGAACTATTTTGAACAGAATTTATGGTTTCAACACTTTATGGCTGATTTCCATAAAACTACAGTGAGCATGTATTGAGTAGCTTTGTCAGAGGAATAGGAGAGAAATATCAGTTCATATAAGATTTTAACGCGAAATGTAGTAGACTGCATACCACTTGTGTAGTAGATTGAAATCCCTAACATCTACAGATTGCTTAAGTGGCCAAAAATTAACCTCTAGGTGTTCATCTGAGATAACTTAAGATTCACCTTGCAGCATATTTAGTAAAACATAAGAAACAACTTTCATAGCAATCCTATTACACAGTACACCACAACTATATTCTATAACAATTATAACAAACAGGACAGCACTTACTAGTCCAGATATACTGAAAAGCTTTTGTATACTACCAATATTCGTATTCCGTGTTATATAACGTCCGGCAACTCCTACGGCTATCATACCCAATCCTAATAAAACAGGTGTCGACTAACGATAGATTAAGTGGTTATTTAGTCTCACCATCACTTCATTACTATCAGCAAATAATGTTGTTCAGTTAGGTGGCAAACTGCGCCTACGAGTTAAATTTATGAAGAACGATTACAATTATGTACGGGCGTTTGACGAGTCACGTTAAGACGCGCGTAACGAATGTTGTCTGAAATAGCGCCAAACCTTCAAGAATGGTTCAAATAATTGTGTCCTCAGTCTTCAGTAGTAAGGATAATAGATTGGTTGACCTGTATTGATCATCGTGATTTATTTTCCAGCGAATTTACTGCTTCCCTTTAAAAGTCTTTGCTGACAGGGCTGACTCCACTTGTTTGGGTGTAGCGTTTCAGCAACTGGTCGTCAGATGCGAAAAAACAGAATCCTAGTCTGGGTCTATTTGAGAGTGATTTTGAACACTCGAGATGTGATCTTGAAGTTACTAGTTGTGGAGGGAGTAGAAGCATAAAATATTTTAAAGCCTTAATCATTTGAGTTATGAAATGCTAATCCAAGATTACCTTTCTTTCCACGGTAATGAGGACAGGTTTTTCGGTTATTAAAGCGCTCATCGAAGAAGAGTTTAAAGGGTTCCATAGACGACTTGGTTCGCACACGGCAGCTTATTCCAAGTGTGATGGTTTCCTTAATAAGATGTGGACTAGCCTCCGTGACGTAATGCTCTGAGTTCTTACATGGGGTGCGGAACTCGAAACATATCATCATGAAGACATTTGGGTACTCGGCGACTTGACTATAAGACTCAGAAACGAGTTGCAGTTGAAAAATTTTAATGTTTAGTTCTTTCAAAGTTACGCGTCACCACTACTCCCTAATCTTTCTGTTTCTGAACGCGTGGAAGCGATATACCATTGACAGTAAAGTGGTAACCCTTGGGGATCCGGCGACTTAACAGATATCAGGTTAATAAGTGAGCAAAGAAGAGCTTCTTCAGTCCTGTGTTGGTATCGTTGTGGTGTGGTTATGGGAAGTATTAATAGCAATATCTGCCTAGCAAATGTCGCTGAATGAGTTCGATGGAATTTCAGCTTCGGCCATATCTGTCTTAAGTCGCACATCCGAATTCTTGTATTGTAGTCACGGAGGTTGAGATAATGCAGTCTCCGATTGCGAAAATGTTAACCCTCCAGATAATGGAACAGGATGGAACAAGTACATACTGCACAATGTTCGTCCAAAACATAAAGTACAATACGTGATCACTGTTAGTTGATGAGGGTAGGTACTGAATGTCAATACCTTCATAGTCGTGTGCAAAGACAAGATCTAACAATATCGGTTTTTGTTTCAAGTCAATGTGTGTTCGGTTTTGCAATACATTGTACAAGTGCTCACTAGGCAATAGTTGTTAGTAGGGTGCCGTCAAAACATCTACCCAATGTCGTAAGCTCTATCCAATTGGCATGTGTCCCGTCGAAATCCCTAAAGACGAAACATTGATCACCCGTGCTCCTCACGGGGATGTAAATTGGGGCAAAATCGTTAGCAGAAGAAGAGGGACTACAGTATATTGTTTCTTTAGTCTCTAATCGATGTCTAAATTCTATTGTCTAACCAGCTGCCTCATATGTGCTTCTACTACATGCTTCTGATAAATGGGGCTGTGCACTAAAGTGATCTCTAACACAGCGCTATACCTCCAATCCTAGGTTTCATAAGCTTATCACTTCTGGTACAAATGTATTCTGCAACAGTTGGAGAATATTCCCCGTTCAAAATAAGCTACGCTTCTATGGTGACGGTCGTAGCTGGGCTTCATCTTTTGATCACCAAGATTAGCCCGGACGTCTTATTTCGAAGACCACTAAGGTTTGTGTGGCACATACTTAAGGCCTTTCAGAAATTGCTTGTTCTACCCGTAAAGGCCTCAAAAACATGGGCTCTCAAGGCTTGATTACCTGGAGAACCATGAAACATAAGGTTCGCTTCATTATTTTCTTTCCAAGTTTTCACCTCAGTTATGGGATCCTTCCACCTAGTTCGGTCATTCATTCACAAGTCTGGCCGAATTTTTGGGCTACGAATTTTGTATACAACAGTCATCCTAGTATCTCTTTCTTCGTTACTTCCGAGAACTATCTTAAGATCTTCCCTTGTTGGGTTCCACCTCTAATTCACTTTCCGAGTCTTGTTGCTTTAGTATATGCGTAAAACAAGATTATATGTGATAGGAATATATATTTGCGATAAGTTAAGAAATGTTTACTTAGTACATACACATAGTGTTTAGTCATCTAATTGTATCGTTTGACGTGTTCTGGATTCTGAACCGTCTTCTCATGCGATCGCCAAGTGCACTGTCAACGCCGCGCTTCTATGCACCGAAACTCTTTACTCCGACTCCCAACTGCTGCAACTTTGAAATCACATTCCACTACATACAACTTACAAACATTCTTGTGAGTGGTGTCCACTATATATGTACTCCAAGAGCCTCTTCTAGAGGCACATGTCAAACTGCAGATTTCGCCGATTACATATAATATGTGTATCATTCAGTTAGCTCGTTTTCTGCTGGCTCCTCCAGGTTTTAAAGAATCAAAGTAGGGAAGCATTTGACTTCCTTCAACGTTGTATTCACAGCTTTTGATTGAGTTGTTACCCTTCGCTTCCACATAACCAACGTGTGCTTCCTTGTCATTTTTCCATTCTGTTTTCACAGTTCAAAGTGAGGCTTGTTCCGAAAACTAAATGCCACAATTAATCAATGTGGCAAGACATGCTTTCTTTTATAATGCAAAAGATAAAGTGAATAAGCCTGGCTAGCGATCCAAAGAAAAGTAAGTTTTAATGGAGCTTAGACACATTACTGATTATTTGCATATGTTTTTTATTTCTTTCCGTATAAGTTTTATTATGACGTTACTATTTACTGTATACTTATTTTCAGCTGGTTTCAGAAATACTTATCGGTACTTACTGTAAATTTTTTATCAGCATATATTTTTACGCTCACTTTGGTATAGAATATGGATGTCACATGGGACTATAGGTTATGGCAGATTGGATTTCAGAGTTCATTATGATCTTCGCCACATCATGTATTTGTTTATATTTTGTTAGCATTGAGACTTTTGACATTACGGTTACTAAATAAAAGACCTATGGTAAGCCCAATAATTTTTTATTACCTACCTGTTATAATCTAGACGATTAACTCACTATGTAAAAGTATGTTAGTTTGGTTGAAAGCATGTCCGCACCTCAAAAGTTTGTCTAGCCTTCCATTGCTTGTTAACACAGACAATAACTTACCCACGATTTATTAACACCTATAAGATACACATGAATATTTCGACTTTTTACTCTGACTCACCCGCTTTCCATTGTGTTTGCACTGTAAATGCTCGCAGATTTCATTAAATATTAACAATACACTATCCTAATAACTTGTGTTCTAGCTTTCAAATATTCTCGAGTAAATTCACAGTACTACTAAAAGTGTAATCCTATTAAAATCGTCAGTTAGCGGGATATTGTCTATTGGAGTCCTATAGATAGGGATTAGCTTATACACACTATCGTTTCTATGTATGTAGAACAGTATTGGCGAGAGTTGGACTTCTACGCGATAAACTGACCAACAGTTTCATCCCAGATGAAAAGAATATGAGAACATTGATTACTCCTGAAAGGTGCGTATGTGTGTTTTTATATTTTGACACAGAATCTCATTTATAACACATCAGTCTTTTAACCATGGCGATGGTGATATGCATAGCGTTTGTTATTACGAGTGCTGACAATATAGCTCTACGTCGATAACTTGAATAAAATATGACTTCTAGTCCACATTTTTTGTCCTCTAAGAGTCGCTTAATTTGTTTCACATAGAACTCTTACACAAGCTATGTGTTAATAGTCACTTCAAAGAAGATTGTCTGTGTTTTCGTTGTCTTTATGACTGTATGAGTGAGAATAAATGAATTAGGTGAGAACCTTAATATCAGTGTTCGTAAATGTATATTTGTGTGCTTGAATTAATTAGCAATTTCGGCCAAAGTATAGTATCAATGAATGGATATAAATGGACTGAGATAACAGTAGTATCTGAATAACGTCATAATTATTCAGTTTGATTAAATTGAAACTTACGCTAAGAATCATCTTCGGTTATGCCACAATGGAAACGACAAACTGAATTGTACTAGTGCATTAGACATTTACATGCCCAATGAGATTTATACATGAAAATGAGTAAACATTCGTGCTCATTCAATATGTCCACATTAGATACACTAGGTTCTTTAATATCAACGCTTACTCCCAAACAAATTTTTTTACTACACAGTAGGCTAATTCGGACCCTATATTAAGGAATTGTTTGGAATCATATCAGAAGTTATCTCCTCCGAAAAGCTCAATATACTAACGCAACTGCATCTGTCCTACTTGCTTAAAAGTCGTTAACCAGAGCATGGTAGATCGACGTCCGTCTATTGGCAACATGACCTTTGTTTCGGGACGAATGCACTGCTTTTCTTATGACTTAATAGTCCGTTAAGTTACGGTTATGTATTTACTGTCCGATGAGGAAGCCAATAAATCGTTATCCTACGCAGTAACAATCTAAGTGGTAATCAGACGAGCGTCATACGGGACAGATGTATTACGTATATATTCCCGGAGGACTAGGTTATCCAAATAATGTTAATCTTGATGTCATGAACATGACCAATTTCTCCAGATAGCTTCGGTATACACTATAAGCTTGCAGGATATGGCAACGCATAAACCTGTCATGAGCATCTGTGCAGGTTAGTAATACCGGTCTACCTTCACATATTGCTGAGAATTTGGAAAGAAGTAATTATGGATTATTGCATATGCTATTAGATCATTGCTAATGCAAAAAGTACATTCGATCACACATCACTGTGAGATATGTTCATGATGTAGTTTAGCTTCCCTGATAGTTATCCGGGTATCTAAATAAGTAAGGTTGGGATATATTAATGATAGCAAAAATTCTCTGTACAATTGTGTTGTCCTAGATTGACAGCTGTATAGTATAATTACTAGGATGTATTACGGGACAACGGATTGATTACTCATTACGTGCACGTCATGTCATCTGAAAATATCGGAATTATATTTCTCTTACATGCTTGAAAACTTTTGCGCATTTCCGAACTCATCCCATGTCAAAAACTTCGGAAAAAAGACTGC